ACAGATGGGCTGCCCTCCTGCTCGCTCCCTGCAGGCCAGGCTGCCTTCCAGTGCGTCCCTGTCTGTGGCATTTAACTTTTGTTTACAAAAAACCCCCCCAAAAAATCAGTGTGTGCTTGTCTCCCCCCGTGTTCTCCGTGTGGGGGGGGGGGTGGTTCAGAGTGTTAGAATCCGCGGTGAGGGGTGTGTGGGGGGCCACCGGTCTGGGACGGGGGTCGTCAAGGAGACCCACAGAAATCCTACTGCTGCAACTCCCACCGCGAGCCGGAAAATCTGCCTCCGCCTTTATTTGTTGTTTTTTAGGCTGTGTGTTTGTCTTCAGGGGGACAACGTGAAACCTTTGAATGGTGTTATCTCTCACCAGGCAGCAGGGAAACTCAACCCCCCCCCCCCATATGATTCTGAGGAATGATTGCGTTTACGTGTCGCAACATCTTAAAGCCACTGTTTCTCATTTACAGCGGTGGCGGCCTTAGAGGAGATGACCGGTGGCCGGAGGGTAACCCTGACCCTCCATGCCGGGGGTGTTTGTGTTGTGTGCCGCCATTTGCATTTGTGTGATTAATTTAGCCACTGTTGGAGGGAAGCTGCTGATCTTTCACCTCTTGCAAAATCAAGACATAGGTCTGACGTTCTTCCATGCCTGTGAGCCCCTGGACATCTCCCGTACGCACCTCCTATTGTAGAAGACCCCTGCGGAAGGTTCCGGTGGGGCTGAGCCGCTCCTGAAATAACAGGCACTCTTTCCAACAAACTCCTCCAATCAAGCTCCTCGTTTCCAGGAGGAAATCCCTCCCACTCTGGTGACCTTAAAGTCACGGCTCGCTTTTCGCCCGGTTCTCTGAGCTCCCGAAGGCTGTTTGTTGTTCTAACTGAGCAAATGTTACAGCTAGTTCAGGGAGCCCCTTTTCGGTGTTTATTTATGGACTTGGATGGTAAATGCATTCGAAGTGTGAATTACGTGAGTTTCTAGGAAAATTTACATGTGAATAAACATTAGTAAAAAATTAAACATTGTTTTTATTTTATTTTTTTAACAGATGGATGTGTCTGGCAGCCAAGGCTAATTTTTTGTTGTTCTTATTCCTGTCTGTGGTTCAGGAGTTGAAGCTGCCCGCCTACCGGGCCCACTCACCCCAGATTGGAATGCGGCGCTACTTCGCCGACCTGCTGGCCATCCTCAGTAACCGCTACCAGCTGTGCCCGACCGCCCGCCACCTGGCCGTCTACCTGCTGGACCTCTTCATGGACCACTATGACGTGGCCCTCAAGCAGCTCTATGCTATCGCTCTGTCCTGCCTGCTCCTTGCCAGTAAGTCACTGTGATGGGGGGGGGGGGCAGCCAGTGGACTGCATTTTGATGACCCCCCCCCAATCCCCCTTATCACACAAATACACCAGCCATCTCTGGATACTCCAGTAATACCCCTGTTTTCTGATGTGGGTGCATTCTGGTGGCTAAGGGACCCCAGGGGGGGGCGAGGCGGCACGCGGGGTGGGGGCTCAGCACGGCGCAGCTCAGTTCGGGCAACCAGCCGGCTCCTAATGGTACCTCACTGTGGTTTTCTATGACAAACGTCTGTGCAGCTGAAAGGCTCCCCACATGGCGAGATCAGAAGAATGGAGAACAGGAATGGGAAATTAATGAGGGGGGCAGCGTGGGGGGTGGGGGCTGCTCAGGCAGACGAGTGGGGAGGGGGGATGGGTGCAGGAGTGCTGGGTTTGGGCGCCCGCAGAGCGGAGCGGTAACCTTTATACTTCTGAGTCCTTTTAATTAGTGTCCCTTACACATGTGTTATATCTGGCCTTGTCTACCCTTTAATCCAGCCCACCGGCTCCCCCTGGCTGTCACATGTGGCTCCTACATGTCTCCGAAGCTGGCAGCTTCGACAGGCGAAATGGGAAGCCCTCAGCTTCCTGTGTCCCTGGAACCCCGGGGGTGGTGGGGCGTAGAGGAATGGGCAGGTCTAAGCAGTCATGGCCCTACCGACACTGTGTGTGTGTGTATGTGTGTGTGTGTGTGTGTGTGTGTGTGTGTGTGTGTTTTGTTTCAGAATGGGCGCTTGGGTTACAAGAATCTTAAAAATGCTAAAAACGGAGCTGCTTTTCAATGCCTTATCTACTGAGGCAGGGCCTTGTCTCTTGCCCCCCCCCCCATTCTTCTCTCCGCCTCCTAACCCCCAGCCCCACTGTGAGGCCTCTATCCAGCGGCCCCCGGCACGCCTGCTTCCCGTCGCCGTGGTTTCGCTCCGCAGTTGCGCCGGGCCGATCTGTCTCGCCGTTTGTTTGGCTTCTCCAGGTGGCTGCTTTTAAATGAATATGGGGGGGGGGTGCGCGTGACCGGTGTGGGGGGGGGGTCACCGAGTTAACGTAGAGACTGAGCTCTGGGTCCACGTGCCGTGTCTGTCGCCATGGTGAGGATCGTCAGCGGCATGGGTCTCTGTAGCAGAGCCTGGCGAGGGTGGGGGCACGGTGGCCCGGAGGGGGTGGGGGGGTCCTGTGTGCTGAAGGGAGTCTGCCATATGCTCTCCTGAAATGGGGAGGGGGTTGACAGGCTAATGCCATGGGGGAGCGGAGCGGAGTGGAACATTTTTTAATTTAAGTGTGCAAACAGTGACTGCGGAGCTCTGAGCTCAGCGCTCATTAATATGCCACAGGATACGTCTGTCTGTCCTGTGTCATACAGGACCCGGGGGGGGGGCTGGCTTGGGTTTATAGAACTGACCTGCTGATGGGTGGGGGGGGGGGTGCGTGGTCGTAAAAAGCAGCGTGTCAAATTGAAGGGCGCATGCTTGCAGGACACACTTCCTGTCTGACACACCTCATCTGGGGGTGGGGGGGGTACAAACGACCCTGTGAACATAAAACTATATAATGGGCTCTTCCTATTTGGGGGGGGGGAGCTAGTGAAGCAGAGCTTCAAAGGTGTGTTGGCCGTCTGTACTTGCCTGTGTGTGTGTGTGTGTGTGTGTGTGTGTGTGTGTGTGTGTGTGTGTGTGCGCGTTTGTGTGGAGGGAGGGGGGTCATGTCTGAGCAGAACCCCTCCCCAGGAAGCCCCAGCGGGCAGATCAGGGTGACTGGAAGCTCTTCTTTGTGGGGGGGGGGGTGCTAAAGCGGGGAATTAATCTGCTTGTCGCAGATTTTCGGGGTGACTGACAGTCGCAGGACCTGACCAAGGTCATCTGGGTGGGGGGGCCCATTAGGGGGGTGGTATTGAAGGAACAATTTTCCAAGGTTGAGAGATGCTGGGGGGGGGGGTGGTATTTCCCTCCGGTGAGAGGTGCATGGCCCACGTTCCTGACGGGGAGGAAACTCGGAGCGACTGTCTCACCCGGCACCCAAGCACAAGCCCTCCGGGTCAAAGGTCACGAAGGGCCTGCATTGTTCACGGGGGGAGATTTGGCATGGGGGGGTGCAAACTCAGCCCAAGATTGAGGTCTTGACATGATCGATTTCACATAGTTTGGACCGAAAGATGGACTGCAGTTTTAAAAAAAAAAAAAAAAAGAATTCCTTCTGGGTGTTGCTGGGGGTGACGATTGAAGGGGGATGTTTCATTAAATCCGCCTGGAAATGGCTGGAGGGACAACAGCAAGGGTTAATGAGGGTGTGTGTGTGTCTGTCTGTGTGTCTCAGCGTGTCAGTGTGTGTATGTGAGCAGCTGTGTGTGTGTCTGTGTCTTTGTGTGTCAGTATCTGTGTGTCTGTGTGTGTGTGTGTCTGTGTCTTTGTGTGTCAGTATCTGTGTGTCTGTGTGT